GTCCCTCACCGGTGTTGTCTTCGACACCGGTGCACCTGAGGAGGATAGCGACACCGAGGAAATTGACATCGACTACCGCCTTGCTCCGGTGCTCCCATCCCCGGCCTCCTCGTCGGCGAGTCCCTCAACAAACCGGCCTGCACAAGCGACGCCCGTGCGGAGGACCCCTAGTAAGCTGTTGGCGAGATTGACACCTCGGCCTGCTGCGCCTCCTCCTCTGCGTCTAGGGTGTAAAGTCCCCCTGCAACATCCTTCTCGGAAAGATGAGAACATCCACTTCGAAGGGCACGACCACACGCGTTCCACGGAGGCAGACTGGGGTCATGACATGATTTGGCACCCGGGGACGATCCTGCCCGCAATTCGGAAGGGGGAGTGGGTCATGGCCATAGTCGACACTGATGGGGAATGGAAGCCGTCCGAGCGCCTGGCCAAGTCCGACTACTTGGATATCGCGAGGAGTGCTGTGGTGGACAAAGTGACGTCAGAGAACAGCAACCTGCAGCCCGCCGACCCGGCCATCATTACCACTGCTAATCACTTGTTCCGGGAACTTCAGGACAAGCAGTGGTTGGAACTATCTGACGATTTCTACGACCTCGAGACGAGCCCTTCAAAGAAAAAGGTGAACTGGAAAGTACCCCCATCGACAGGGACCCAGGGTAGTGTGGGAGGAGGACCTCCGAGCCCCCCCGGGGCCGGAGGGGGCGGAGGCAGTGGCCACGAGGAAGGAGGTGGCGGAGGCAGTGGCCATACGACATCAGGGGGAAGCGTGCCGGCATCATCGCCTGCCCCTAGCGGTCAGGGCAGGATCGCGCACAGCGGCGTGGGGGAAGGGGGGGTGAACGTCACACACTCCCCAACAGCAGGGAGCGGCAAGTCGGGGAAGTTCACCCGCATCCGAACTTCGCAGACGGAGGACCCAGTGCCCATGGAGGCAGCGAAGTCGGCCGACATCTGCACTTCGACGACTCTGGAGCAGGCGGCCCTTCCCTCGTGGACTGCTTTGGGCTCCTCCGATGAAGTGGGGTGGGGCTCATGTGCAGGGGATCCTGTCTCCACCGTGAAGGGCAAGTCCGCGGGCATCCCTGCCAGGGCGGACGACGTTCAGGCGAGTGTACCAGTCCAGCGGAGCTCTACAGGAGCACAGGCGTCGGAGATGGGCGCCGCCCTGGCTGTGCGGGAGGCGACGCCGCCGGCCCTTGGACAAGGCTGATCTGCAGAGTCACAGAGAGAGATTGCTGGTGCAGCACCGTCCGCCTTCCTTGCGACGAAGTCCGCCGGTATCTGTACTTCGTCCATGACGTGCCTGCAGTCGGGGGAGGCAGGGACGAAGGAAGGTGGTACGTCTGTTCATACAGACGACCGCTCCTTGGGATCCGCCTTGATGCGGCTGCAAGGAGCCGAGTCGCGTGAGACTGACGGGGGGGAAGAATGGGTGCAAGTCGAGGGAGGGGAAGAAGAAGGAGAATGGGAGGAGGGGGGAGAAGGAGACGAAGGGCGAGAGAAGGAGTTAATTACATTGCACGACGGGGAAGACGGTGAAGAAGGAGGACTCAGTATTACGGACGAGGAAAGGGTGGATGCCGGAGACGAGGATGTCTGTGGGGAGACATCTGATTCGTTCGGTCTAGTGTACGCCAGACCAGGTGAAGGTGATATCGACGACGACGCGACGACGATGGATATGGAGACGCAGGTGGTTAGTGGCCTTTCCGTGGACCACGAAGAATATGACACCCACCACCTGGCCACGGCGGTGCATCCCCCCGACGGGTGCGACAAGGCTATCATGAAAGTGAGCCCGGCGAAAACGACTCACCGTCTTAGCGTCAACGAGGTCATCGATAGCATACTGGGCGACGTGCAAGCTAAAACACTTCCATCCACCCCGTCAAAAGACGATGCCCTTCTCAGCAACGACACTTTCGTGGCCAGGGACTTGGCGCTCATCCAGCCGTGCTTTCCGGTACCCTCGTCACCGCTCACAGGAGGAAGGGGGGGGGTTGTTGGGGGCCGCCAGCATGTCACGTCCCCAAAAAAGTGCAGGGTAGGCACTCCGGCCCTGGCTGTCCTCGCCTTACCAGCGCCCTCGTCGCTGACGAAGGAGCGGAAAGAAAAACAAGTTGGTAAGCATTGATGATCGTCGCGATGTCAGCACTCCCGCGTTTCGGGATTGTCGACGCTGTCTGTCAACCCCCTTGCCAGTTTATGCCCCACGTTAGATGGACAAAATTCTGCTTTACTTGTCAGCGAGGACCAATTGGCCTCTTGTTCCTTAACACACCGTCACGCTTTATTCTGCGACCGCTGATCCGCTCCTCCCTCTACAAAACTACAAGTCCTCTGTCGCCGTCTCGATTTTCTGTCTCTGGCCGACACCTGTAGTGTGGATACCGGCAGACTACAAGACAGACCGTTCGATAAACGATTTTCGCATCGACGAGCTTGTGTGCATTCGCACATAAAACGACGAGCGCAGTCTAGCCCGAGAACCCTGCACATGACGACGAAAGACCACATCACGCCAACGAAGAGGAATGTTTACAAATGTCGAAGTTCGGATTCCCGCGGACTTGCAGCTACAACCAGCAGGTCAGGTCGCAGAACCGGGTTTGGTCCTGACACTGGAACTGCGGAAACCGCCGGAAAAACGGTAATACGGAAGGTCTGTTCTGAAGTCCGCCGGCATCTGAACTACAAGTGCCGGCGCGAGGTGGAGCACGCCCCGTTGGTCGATGTTTGCAAACTGTGCCTGCAAGTCCGCTGGAATCCGCACATCGGCAACTGCCGACTTTCCACCTCGCGCCGACACTTGTAGTGCGGATACCGGCGGTCTAGAAAACATTCCCTTCGAAGTTCCGGTTTCCTCCGGTCACCGCAGTTCCAGTGTCAGGACCAAACCCGGCTGGTCCCTGTCTGCTAGTCGTAGCTCCAAGTCCGCCGAAATCTGAACTTCAGCATTGGTAGGCGTTCCTCTTCTTTGGCCTGATGTGGTCTTCGTCGTCATGTGCTGGGGTCTCGGGCCCGACAACGCTCGTCGTTTTATGTCCGAATGCACGCATGCTTGTGGGCTACATTATCTTTCACATTGTCACTTTCGTTGAACTCCTCCTGGGAATCATATATTCATTTCGGGTTCTGTCTGTTCTCTGTTTACAGGGGTCCGGTCGTCTCGAAAAAGGAGTTTATCGAAATATCCGGCACGTGTATTGTAGAAACTTTCGAGATTCACGACAAGAAACAAGAATATGTTAAAGGCATCAGGGGTTGATATCGAGATTGGAGAGAAGGAGCATGCCTTAGCCATTGACGAATGTTTATCCCTTCTACCTGCGGAGAAGGGAATATATCCACGATCTGTGACTAGGGGTCAGACCATGTATGAAAAATACTTAGCGACGTGTCGTGCGGTGAACGACAACCTTTAGAACTTCCTTTCTCACTTCCCCGCGTGTGCGTTGGTCGATGATGTGCAGCTCGGGCCACAGCACCTGCAGCCTGGGGGGGGCATTTCAGTACGGTGATTGCGCCTCGAGTCTCGCGGGTTATGGACGATGTTTCTCGCAGCGTGGTGCCTCGTCATCATGTCCTCTCTTTCTTTGCGGATAATCAATTCAGAATCACGGCGAAAGATATGCTCACCGTTTTGCAAGCCAATGGCAAGATCAACGATGAGGTGGTGAATTTCTACGTGGCCCTTTTGGGGTCGACGGCATCCTCGACACGTGCACGGCCATCAGGCCTTCGAATCTTCAACTTTAATTCTTTCTTTCTTCAGTATGCTGCAACTTCGAGGACACACTGGGGTGGAGAGGTGGGTTAAAAACGTTAATCTGCATCAGTTCGATATGATCTTCGTTCCGGTGCACAAACATAACGATCACTGGATCCTACTTTCCGTTAATTTGAGAGACAATGTCTTTGAAATTTTTGACTCTTTTCCTCGCGTTAAAGCCGATTCCAGTTTCTACCGTAGTGTTTTCGAGTTGATTGTATAGTATTTAGAACGCCATACCTCACATAGCCGGTCGGATAGGAGTTGGAAGAATATGGTCAGAAAATTTGTTGTGGAAGGAGTTCCAATGCAAGTTGATGGAGCTAGTTGCGGGGTGTTCATGTTGACATTTGCAACGCTGTTGCAACGTGGTGATCGACCCCCTTTCAGATTCTCGAGTAAAGATTTGCCTGTTATTAGACGACAACTGGCAACATGTCTCTTGGAAGGACATTGTCTTTGACAGTTTTCAATGACTTGTACAAAATTCTATAAATGTATTTCGTTCTGTGGCAATTGTATTTGGTATGCTCGTTGTCGGTATGGCAGTGGTACTATTTTCGTGCAGTTCAACATTGTTTTCTTGTAGTTGGATGACTTTTCCATGTGTAAACTTCGTCAATTGAGTCTCTTCTCGTGCAGTGGAACAATTCGTGTTGCGCTTTATGATTTCTATTGCAAGTGAAACGCACAGGGCACCGACATCGAAAGTTCGGATATCGGCGGACTACAGCCTCTTCGCCCCCCCGGCAACAATCTCATGTAGGTTGTGGTACATAAGATTGTTGTCGGGGGGGGGCGAAGAGGCTGTACTCCGTCGGCATCCGAACTTTCGATGTCGGTGCCTTGTGCGATTCACTTCCTCTGTATGTTGTGTGTGGAAAGTAAGGCGTGGAATTGGATTGTTACCCCTTGCTTGTCACGACGGTTTGCAATTTTGCTATTTGAAGGCATCTGTGTTCTCGCGTATCGTCTAGCCCTTAAATGATGTTCTGTCACTCTCTTTTCGTGCAGTAGAACAACTCGTGTTGCGCTCTATGATTATTATTGCATGTACGACAACCTACATAAGACTCTTGTCGGGGGCGGGGGCGAAGAGACTGTAGTCCGCCGGTATCCGAAATTGCGATGACGGTGCTCGTTCGTTTTCACCTGTCCTCGTCCTGTTCTGCTTTTGCACTGCTCTTAGAATTAGTCCACTTGTGGAAATTTTTTTGGGGTGCATGGCAGTTTTAGACACAGTCGCGGGCGTGAGATTCATCGTGCATTTCCACGTGTCGTCCGCGGTACTGCTTGCGTTTCCTCGTGCTGTGAGTCGCCCCTGCTCCATCACGTAACGGTCTCGCTAGGAGCAACTCTATGGGGGCACTGGATTCTCTGAATTCACCGCAGTGGTCGCCTGCTGTCCAACTGCCTGTTCCGCCCCACTGCTCGGGTGCACCCATAACTTTTTCTTGTTGGTTATTCCGCTGCGAGCGCGCGCCTGGCCTATATAGGCACGGGTGTGAGCTTACGCTACATCATTCACAAGCCATGTGTGAGAAACGTAAGGTTGGGGGTTCAAATCCCTATTTCCGCTCGTGCCACCGCAACGCGACGCACTATGTGGCACCCATAAGACCAGTGCCCGACATGAAGTCGGCCTGGATTAAGGTGGCCGGCCCCGATGCGGGCCGGCGCACTATGTGGCACCCATAAGAGCACGCTGCTCTTATGGGGGATTGGGGGAAGGCTCAATCCCGGAGCAGTAAGCGCGGTAGTTCCCTTCTTCCCTTCCTCAACTCTGTCCACTGGAACTTTCGACGTTCCAACATTCAAACACAACAAGGAGTCGACTTCATTGTGTTGCTGTGATTATCCATCAGTGGGGTTCGCAGGTTGTGCTGCTCAAGGCACCTTGCTCATCACAATCAAGGCACCTTGCTCATCACGATCAGAAATAAGTATGGATCTCAGCACACTTATCAAACTTCTCCGACAAGGATACAATCAAGGCGCCTTTCTCATCACAATCGAAAATAAGACTTAGTATGGATCTCAGCACACTTATCAAACTTCTCCGATAAGGACACAATCAAGGCGCCTTGCTCATCGGATCTCGGCACACTTCCCCATATCAGGCACACCTTGCTCATTATAAACAAGTATGGATCTTAGCACACTTCCGCATATGGGGCCAGTGGATGGGTGAGTGGATAGGTATGCCTAGGTTGCTTAGGCTGCAGCTGAAACTGAATTCGTTCGAAAGAGGACACAATATAATGTCATATTTTAACGAATAAGGTATTATAAAAGAAAACCAAAGAAAGGAAAAAAAGAGACGAACTTATGGCCGCGATCTCCACAGGCCTTCTGCTATTGGTCCTAGTCGCTTCGTCTCACAAAAGGGTGATTGCTATTCTGAAGTGATGGTCCCATAACGGGATATTGACAAGCACTTTTCTTCCCTCAAAACACGCGAATTGGCCTTTACCCGATGGGTACCCGTGTCTGATGGCAAGGAGGGGGCTCATGACCCACTTCAGGGGTGATGGGCTTCCTACCGATGCGGCCGCGGGTCCCCCTCCTTTTTGGGGTCTCACCGCATGGCGCCAGATCGGAGCTCCCCCATAGACAGTACACGCAAGGCCAGCCTACTCAGGGCCGTGGACCGCTGGCTCGAAATTCGAACCGTTGGCCTTTCCGCGAAAGGACAGGCCAACAGGCAGAGAATTGAAAAATAGAAAAATTAAGTAATAATAACAAAAATAATAATGATAGCTATGAAACAAGAATGGAAAAGAAAGCGTAAAGTCACAGTGGTCAGAAGGCACTAGTTTTTCCCCAAACTAAACATTTTCATACTCGACGTTTTATTATATTTTATTATCTTTTCTTTTCTCTTTTGACGTTGACCTCCACCCAGTGCACCTAACCCATAACTCAGTAGAGGGGGGTTGGCACGCTGTTAAAAAGACTGAGTCAACCCTCTCACCTCCGCATCCCAGGGCGAACCCGGCGGCTACCATGGCCACAGGCCGGTTGTGCTCTGTTGTACAGCAGTGCGCCGAGCCTTCGTGGACCAATGGAAGTCCTGTGGCGCACCCCTTTTGCTGAGGGCTGCGCCACCGGGGCTGGTCCATGCCGAGAATAACCCAGGTACCAGACCTAAACAGCACCAGACGAGCCTCAGGGATCAGTAAGTCAGGGCAAGGGATTGGCACTGAGCGAGGAACTGGTACACAAAGGAGGGCCGGGACGCCGCGCCCTCCGACATAATACCAACCCCCCACCCAGCGTCCCCGCTGGGTCGAAACGCATCGAGTTTTCAACATAAAACCAGAGTGAGCAAGATATACTTCTCATTCATTCCTGCTCGCAACTCACTGCGGAGCCCGCACCGTAGTTCTACACAGTCTGTTTTCTGTTTTTGCTTTAGTGCTCACTTTTTTTTTTTTTTTTTTTACGCTCGCCTTTCTTATCTGTGCTCGCCTATCTTTCTCCACGTTTCTGCACTAGCTCCTTCCCTCTGCGCTAGGTTTCTTTTCTCTTCGCTACACTCCCTTAGCGCTCGTCTTCTCTCTGCGCTTGCTTTTTTTTTTAGCGCTTATCTTCTCTCTCACGTAGTATGTCGTAGTCTCTCGTAGTCGGCGCGGTTATTTTTCTTTATTTCTTTTGGTAGTCT